TAACCAGCATGTACAATATTTGCTGCCTTCCTTCCTTAAATAAGGGCAATAATTGCCACCTGTTTTTCAAAGAATGAATGACCTCACTAATAGAACTCCACACTGCTATTATTTTGAACATGCCCCTTTTAATTAGTGATTCAATTACACAGAATCAGCAGCATGCATGTCATGACTGTTGGGTCTGTTGGATTTCTATTACTCTACTACAGCTGCTAGTAAATTATTTGCCATATAGAAATATCATTTCTACCAAAAACAGTGATTGATCAGGTTAGTGATGTCTGACTGCTATTACTTTGAACACAACTGTATATATATATATATATATATATAGTGAAGGAAATAAGTATTTGATCTCCTGCTGATTTTGAATGTTTTCCCACTCACAAAGAAATGATCAGTCTAAAAATCGAGTGGTAGGTGTATTGTAACACTGAGAGACAGAATAGCAACAGAAAATTCAAAAGAAATGCATGTCTAACAAATTATGCACTCATTTGAATGTTCATGAGGAAAATAAGTATTTGAGCAGGGGATCAAATACTTATTTCCTTCACTATATACACAAAATAATATTACTAATCAGAAGTGCGTGCCTATCTCACTACATGGCAATCACAACTCTTCTGAATAGGTGCAGTCCTCTGTATTGTTTCACCTCCACTGTTGTGTTCTCCCCATTCAGTGGTTCAATTTCATAGCCAGCAAAAAAATAACAAAAAAGAGTCCCACAATGTAGTATCTCAAACATCCATATTTGACACAAGTAATAAAGGTACTCACAAAAGCTGTACTTGGTAAGTGCATTTTCATGCATAAGTGGTGGTAGTGATCTTTGATCAAAGATTTTTCTACACTTGGAAGAATGATATTGGCGACAGGAAATGTTTAGTCATTGGATTGCTTTATTTGAACCTATTTAATTTGAAATCAATTTTGGTTAAAATAGTATCATATATTATTTGGAAGACAATATTTATTGAATGATTTATTGTGCATAAGACCCCTTTCAGATGAGGCTGACCCATCAGCCGATCTGCTTGCTCACTTGGGGGACTTCTCTGCTGATCTCCACTGAGCAAATGGATGACAAGTCTGTGTCTGCTCTGCACAGACACAGACACAGCCTACTGTTTTCTATGAGGCGGTTGGATGGAAAGAGACCGCCTGTCCATTTCCATCGGACTGTCATCCGATCTGCCAGATGGATGGGGAACGGATCCTCATCCATCTGTTTTTAGCATACATGATCAGGTCCGATGCCGGCAGGTGTCTGCTGGCATCCTCCGCTCCTATGGATGGTTCGATCGGTTTTTCAGGTGGACCCAATCGGACTGTCAGTGTGAAAGGGGCCTAGATTTTCACACTGAAGAATATTTTATATTATTGAATCAGTAATGTAATTATTATTTTGTTATATCATGTATGGGTTTATATTTATTAATAGCCGCTAGTTATTGGTCCAAAATTAAGTTATTTGGTTCACAGTTTTGCCAAATTCCTCACAATTTATTATATCGATCAGTATGGACAGGTTTATACATTTAAAAAGCACCGTGAATTGTTTCTTGTGGGACCTCTTTTTAGCGTCCCTGTCACCTATTTTAAAAAAATCCAAGTACAATCACAGAAAGATCAATTGCTTTAAATTCTTACTTGTGGTGTTTTTTTTTTCCTTTGGATAAATAATTTTATTAACTTGCATTTGAACCTGCTAGAAAATTTTACAACTCCTGGAAGAGTCAATTTCCTACCTCACCCTCCTTTCTCCTTGCACATCATAACCCTCTCCTCTTCTGGGAGTGTCGAATTACTGTTTGTGCTGACCCAGCTCCTTTTCCCCTCAACTCTATTGAGTGACAGCTCTTATGCCTCGTACACACGATAAGAAAATCGTACGAAACATTTTGCGTAACCACTGATCAAACAATTTTCTCTTCATTGATGAGCAGGATGTTTTAACCGATAACGATATTGTGAATGATAAAATCTGACTGAACAACAATGGAAAATGTTGTTTCTCATATATTTTCTATGCGGTGGTATGACGGTCATATGAAAAAAATCTATCAAGCGTTATCACGCATGACAAGAAACAGAAGATGACTCGGATGTTTATGTCCGAGGAATCTTCGTAAACACGAATGAAAAATCCAAATGTTAAAAGTAGATTGGCCTAATGAGATGATGAAACCAGAATGATGCGTATTATATTTTATGTATCACTATTTATGTATATAGGTCATGTAATAAACTATATTATACTCATTGCTGTTAATTGTTGTGTATATATCGCTGGTTCTGGCCTGAAGAGCGTGGCCACAAGGTCACACGCACACTGCATAACTTTCACTTGTACGGAAGACGTCAATACTACGTATTACCCAACGAACAGTTTTTTTAGATTGGTTAACATGGGCCACGATTTTGACCAACGAACGAATGCCTCTCGGTCGTCGGATGACTGATCGGTCGATTTTCTAATCGTGTATTCCCACCTTTAGTCTGCTGGAGCTGCTGACATCACACCCAAGATGGAGGTGCCAATCAGCAGTCTCAGGGTTTTTGGATGCCTACACAAGGGAAACGTTTACAGGTAAATACCATACATAAAATGCATTAAATGCACATATAATCCTATGGAAAGCTTATTGTTGAAATTAATGATATGGCAACAGGTTCTCTTTAACGATGCACACCCATCCCTTTCCTGTGCACAGAGTCTCCCCATAAAACAGCAGACCCTGTTGGAATTATCTAAGAGGATATGCTCAATATTTCTCTGTATTAAGACACAGAACTACAATGGCTGCAAAAATATACTGTGGTTAGTAAATGGCATGCTATGAGATACAATGTCATTTTTACCAGAATGTTCTGGAGTTTACTGCAAAATAAAATAGCACATTATACAATTATAACATTTTATATTGCTAAAATGATAGTCACTTTAATTCCCCCATAGTTTGGACTGCTGTTGAAGTACACTTATCTAACATGACACGTACAGAGTGATATTCTTTGTACTGAAGGATTTGGTGACTTTTTTAGAGCAAGGATTGTCATGTAATTGCAGTGCATTGTTCTTGCATTTGATGTTTAATTTGTAATGCCACAACATGCTTAGTATATGGAAATTATTGTGGAATCCAATCATGTCCCCGTTCTATGAATACAGAATGGTTACAATTATTATTAGTAAGGTAAGAATTCGAACACAGACAATTTTCTTTAAAGATTCGCCATCTTGCCAATTGTGCAATTCTCAGCATGTAGACTGGAAGAATATATTTTAAGAGGTCGAACAAGTCAATTTATCAGGAACTGCAGTTAGTCTTCTTCTCTTCTGTACTACATAGCTTTCAACCATTGACATGGTATAAAAGACACTTGTGAACAGGTGTCTTTCAGTCTTTTTTATGCTTGATACAAAAGTGCGAAAATGATATAAGTAAATCTTCACAGAACGTTTTTCAGAATCATTCACAGTATTGATCTAGTACTCCTATTTTTTATGTTTGTTATGGCTTAAAAGAACAACATATTTAACAACATGTTTCTTAGGTAAGGTAATTCCTCTGCATAATGGGTTGATTTACTAGAAGTGGAGCACTCAGAATCTGGTGCAGTTGTGCATAGTAGCCAATCAGCTTCTAACTTCAGTTTGTTCAAGTAAGCTTTGGCAATAAAACCTGGAAGCTGATTGGTTTCTATGCAGAACTGCACAAGAATTTGCACTCTCCAATTTTAGTAAATAAACCTTGATATGTCTTGGTATGGTTAAATCAGCCTTGCCCCGCCAAGTTACAGACTTTGACTGAAATTTCATGCAATTGATAACACTAGAAAACAAAGTGAATATGTTCAAATAGTGATCCTGTTATAGCACCTCCTATGTCTTCTAGGCCATTGCATATCATATCCATGAAGAACACAAAATAAAGCAGTGGTCATAAGCCAGCCTCCCATTAATTAGTGAAGTGAAGTCCAAAGCAATGGTTGGCCGTCATGTAGCTTGAGATGAAGAGGATGTTGAGTTGTGAGGTGCTTGTTAAATTATTTCAGGTGGGTGTCCTGATTGTATTCTTGGTGCAATAACAGTGAGGAACATCCCTTAGGCAGCTTTCTGGAGGACAAAGGCAGGCTTGTAACCTTAATGAATATGTCAACCTAAGATGTCATATTCCCAATATGTGGATGCTGTATCATGTATTGTATGAAAAAGTATACTGTTCTCTTTGTATTGCTTCCTTTGTGTGAAATCCCTGGTGTTCCTGCTAGTCCCCCCGCTTTCCTTTCAAAAACCAACCACAGTAGGCTGCTCTTCTCCAATTATCAGACGTTTGCTGCCCCCCTGCAAAGCCATTCAGTTGGAAGATCAGGGTACTGTTTCCCCTCCCCCAGCTCTCTAAGTTCCTTATACAACTGAGAATAGAGGGAATGTGACCACTTATAAAAACTAATTTATAATGTTTTTTAACCACAAGCCTACAGGGAACTTATACCCCCTTCCTGCCCAGGCCAATTTCCAGCTTTCAGCGCTGTTGCACTTGAATGACAATTGCGCGGTCATGCAACACTGTACCCATATGAAATTTGTATCATTTTTTTGTGACAGATAGAGCTTTATTTTGGTGGTATTTAATCACCTCTGGATTTTTTATTTTTTCTTAAACAAACCAAAAGCCAAAAAGTTTGAAAAATAAAGTTTTTTCTTAGTTTTTGTTATAAAACTTTGTAAATAAGTGATTTTTCTCCTTCACTGATGTGCACTAATGAGGCTGCAGTGATGGGCACTGATAGGCTGCACTGATGGACACTGATAGGTGGCACTGATGAGGAGGCACTGGTAGGTGGCACTGATGGGCATTGACAGGCATCACTGATGGACACTGAAAGGCAGCACTGATATATGGCACTGATAGGGGGGCACTGATAGGCGGCACTGACTGGCACTGATAGGCGGCACTCACTGGAACTGTTAGGTGGCACTGACTGGCACTGATATGCGGCACTGACGGGCACTGATAGGCGGCACTGACTGGCACTGATAGGCGGCACTGACTGGCACTGATAGGCGGCACTGATTGGCAGCACTGATAGGTGGCACTGATTGGCATTGATAGGTGGCACTGACTGGCACTGATGGGTGACACTGAAAGGCAGCTCAGATGGGCACTGATATGTGGCATTGGTGTGCACTGGTAGGCACTGATATGTGGCACTGATGTGCACTGGCACGTGGTACTGATGAGCACTGACAGCTGGCACTGATGGACACTAACAGGTGGCACTGCTGGGGCTACACTGATCATCAGGGCACACTGATCATCAGTGCTCTTATCATCAGTGTACATGTCCCCTCCTCCGAATGCCGATTATCGGCTCTCCTCTCCTCTCTCGAGCTGTCAGCGCGACAGCTCGAGAGGAGAGAAATGCCGATAACCGGCATTTCCCTGTTTACATGTGATCAGCTGTGATTGGACACAGCTGATCACATGACCGAGCCGACATCTTTGGCTCTTTCCGTGGATCGGTGTTCCGCTGTGTCCGAGGTATGTCCCTCCGGGAGCCACGCATGCGCGGTTAGAATGAGAGGACGTCATATGACGTCCTCCCAGAACAAGAGAACCACCTTGCATCCATCATATTACTATATGGCGGGCGGGAGGTGGTTAAAATACACAAATGTGTTGGTTTTCATTTCTATTTTAAACTGAATGGGTTGTTTTTAAAAGGTGAGAGTTCGCATATACAGTACTTTAATATCTACAAAGGAAAGCTTCAAGCCAATTGTATAGTCTAGAAATGTTTTCACTGGAAGTTGCTCTTCAATAAAAAGCCAATTTGTTTGGGGATCCTAAAGGTCCCTCTTCATCAAGCCAAGTTTGTTTTTTAGCCCCAATAAAGAAGGGGGTATTTAAAACTCCAAAAAGTGTTGGCTTTTTGTGAAACAACAGCTCCAAAATAAATACATTCTGGACTTTGTACAACAAGCTTGGGGCTTTTTTTCCAGTTTTTGTGACTTAAAGTATAACTGAAGGCAAACATCTCCAAGCTCACATTCCTTATCCAGCCACCTGATAGAACGTGGTTATGTTCCTTCTCCATGGTCTCACTGTGTTTAGGAACAAAGTCATCCTCTCTTTCTTGCTCCTGAGATGGACAGTGGACTATGGGATGTATAGTGTGTATAGAGCAATCCACATGACCACAACTAATGATCACTGCTTATTCCAACCAAACGTGGATGTGTATGAATTATGTTTAGATAATGTTTAGTGTCACTTTAAGAAGTCCCTCCAAGATCTGTTTAGGACTTGCTGAAATCCAGGTGGAATACATGCACAGACTGTACATAGGATAAGGCAGCTAATCAACTAAAAGAGTACCGCTACCACTTCACCTATGTGAAACCTCCTCTAGTATTATCTGAAATTACATGCTCCGTTGACATTTATAAATATCTGCTATTTTACTCACCAACTCCTGAATGCCAATTAAATATGTCTACCCTTTTTTGTGCTGTATAAGTAGGCAAATTCATTTAAATGCATTCATTATTGTGAAGCATATGCATCCATTGTCTATGCATTTCAATCTGTTTTATGTAAATTAGTCACATGTGTATGAAATGACAGAATACAATGTTGCTCCCAGCATGCAATTCCACTTCCAACAATATATTTGTCAAATGCAACACAAATACATCTACATGTGTTTTGAATGTGACTACCTGTTGATTTCTATTTTTGGCATCTAGGCATCTTGTAGAGTTTAAAACTGGACTATCCATTGTGAATAGCCGGTACATCTATTAAATATGAAACTTTAACAACGCTTTTTTGGATAGAGAGGGGAAAGAGGTAGAATTTATCATTGGTCACTAGGTGGTCAGGAGGTGAGGGGAAATCTCCCCAAAGGTAACATAGACAGCAATACAAATCTGAACAAGACTCAAACTGAAGCGGATAGAATAATGGAAAAATCCACACCTCTGGTAATTTGGCACATAAGATAACATTATTCTCTCCATCAGGGGTATATAAGAATCTCCCAGTAACATTAGTAACTCTAAAGGACCGCTTACCGTTTCACTGATTTAATTGCAGGGTCAGCAGCATTCCCCTAAACAGGAAAAGGAGAATGTTCACATATGACATCAATATCTTTGTTATAAGGAAGTACAATACTTACTAACTGGAAAAACATCTAATTAGATCATTTACATCATAAGGGGCAGTCTTTCTCCAGTGAAATCCCTCAAGCTATTGTAGTTGTGAAATCAACTGTTCACTGTGCAATTGGAGGCCCATTGGGTTCACCGTAGACCCATTTTGGAGCAAACTGGCCAGATTCACTTTAACTTCTCACTTTACACATGTACAATTGAGGCTGTGAGACAGAAAAAATAGGCAGATGAGCTGCAGTCTTACTGACCCCCTTAACCCAACACATTGGCCATAGTGGGTTGTGCACATGTGTAGCACACACCCTAAGGAGCTGTTAATGAAACTGATGCGTTAAACCCAAATTAGTTCACACGTAGCCTGGCACACAGCATTTTCTCCACTTTTACTGGCTCGAATAGAACAGTATAGGGGTTTGTTTTTGATGCTTTCTTGAAAGCTTTAACTTAGATGGGGTGAAGGGAGCATGGGATACCCCAACTGTAGAACTGAATTCTTTGTGGACTCTTCTTTCTAAGCTGCACAAAAAGTCCCACATGACTCTCTGCTGTTAACAGGTGACCATATTTTCTTTCCAGAAACTAAGAGACACACAGATTCACTAAGGGCCCACACTCAGGTTGTTTACTCACGATGCCACAGGATCATTAGTTGCCTCCTTTCGATATCCACCGGGCACTCTTCAGTGAGGGAGACACAGATTCATACTACCACAGAACAGCAAGGATACTTGTCCCCCAACTTCCTCCTGATACTCTCCAGTGAGCTTCTCCAGACCCAAACCGTCTCCAGGACTAGACTTAGCAAACAGTACGCCCAGCTTAAACTCTCGCAGGGACCTTGATGTCTTCTGAATGGCACCTCCAGCAATCCTGCCCTAGGAGCAGAGCCCCTTCTCAGGGGTCTCCTCCAGCAGGACTGGACCCAGGAAGTCTTTCCCCTGCCTCAGGCCTCTGACTAGTTATGTGGCTACCTACTGTGCACACATCCCCTGGAACTGGCTGGACTCCCACAAATAGTCAGACTGCCTCTCTCATACTTCCTCCCATTATATAGAATAAAGGGGCAAGCAATCAGAGCAGCAGCCTGTGAGACACTGAGCAGGCCAGAATAATCAGTCCCTGCTCCACTGATTACAGAGGAGCTGTACTAAATTTTCCTAACAACTTGCACTAACTAGGAGGCTGCTGCACATGCAAAGGGCAACATATTTTGCTCCTTTTCAGGATGGCAAGGGCTGCAGCTAATGTGTACAAGCCTTTACCATGTTAAACTACAGTTTGGGATTTTCTTCTGTACATGAAATAAATTATACTCAGTCTGCCTTCAATAACAAATAATATATCCATAATTAGTATGTGAGGAACTTCATACTTGCTTTTGAACATCTGTTAACAAATCACTTTAGCATTGTGAGTGTACCTATTAGCACTTATGGAGGTGTTAAATGTTATTTATATTGTCTAATATGTCTAATGTTTGCCTTAGAATTGGAATAGTTATATGTTAATGAAAAACATGACACGGATTGCCCTCAGACAATACTAGTTTAAATGTCGAGCATCAAAATATAATATGTTTAACTAATAATACAATTTGCATCTGAAATTTAATTGCATGATGTAAGTTAGGTTAAAGCCACCAGCAACCCCACACCTTATAAGCATTTAGCTATTTATAGGCCTGTATGCTTCATTAAATGATTTGTGGCTTACATCTTTTTTTTTTATCTTTGTGAAAATGCTGCTTCCTACCTAACTCTAGTGCCCTGAGCTTGCAAAGCTGAGTAACAGACACACCTTTTAGCACAAGTGCCCTTACATAGACTTGTGTTACAGAGAAAAAGAAGAGGCATGTCTGACTAGGTCTGTTACTGAGTGCAGATTAAAGTATAACTAAAGGCAAAACTTTTTTTTCGTTTTGGACACAGTTGATATGGATTAGAACACCTATTAGGTATTCATCGTAGGCTGTACCCCCGTTAGGGAGAGTCACCCTTTCTATTTGTCCTGTTTACCAATATCATTGATAGTGAAAGTAAGGAAAGGGGAAATCTTTCAATAGGGACACTGGCTCTGGTGACCTGGAGTTCCTTTCATTTTCAAGGACTATCTCTCACCTTCTGTTTTCACTATGGGACAGAAATTAAAGGTAAATCTCCCTAATGGGACACAGATTGAAAAAAAATTATGGGGGTTATAAACCTCCCTTACTCTCCCCCCCCCCAAAAAAAAATGTTTTGCCTATAGTTCTACCATAAGGAGAGCAGTGGGTCTAACTCTGGTGAATGTTGGGTTGCACAGTCATATTTAGACCCCCTGTCTAACTTCTGCAACAGGACATTGGTAACAGGTAAGGTAACAGGTAAGGCTTGAGCAACAGGGTGAATACATTTTTCTGAAGCAGAGAGACTTGACTGCACCTTAAAAGTTATCTCATTATCATCACATTGATTTCAGTGTAGTGCAAGTGTCATGTTTCACATGACTGTCATATGCCTTTAAGTGTTCTTTGTATTTTGTCTCTGCTCCTCCATTTCCTTTGGTTTAGTTCATGCTGTATAGATAGCCCACCCCTTTTTCCAGTAAGGCATGTCAGCTTCAAGCCTCATGTCTCATGGAGTAGATCACATTATGATCTTTTGACCTAACCGATGTTCATTGTTGTAAGATTCTCTCAGTTTATGGAATAAACTTCACAAGATCTACAAGGTGTCATCTAGATCGAGTCACTGCCTGTGTTATTCAACTAAGATTGGAGTTATCGCTATCTCCTCACAACTGTAAGTTACAGATATCACACTTTCAATGCTTAGATTGGAGAGACAGAATAGTCAAAAGATCAGTGAAATGTCTTCATAGGATCCTTGCTAGCTTTGGATATACAGTGAAATGTTATATGGACACTGGAATAGCAGCTACAGAGAGTGCAGCCATCTCTACACAAGTATGTACATGTCTGCAAGTATATCTCAGCATAACACTCATCAGTGTCAGGACAAATTATTGATGTGAATGTCTTACAACTGCAAGTTTATACACTGCATCTGTATGCATTAGCACATGGCTTGTCTGTGAAATCTTATAGAAAGTGAAAGAAAACTTTTCTGCAAACATTGCCTAGGAAACCTGAGCTCACCCACAGAACAATTGATACATTTTCTGTAAACTTTCTATCAACCCCTCTCCTTGCTAACATGATGTTTCAGGAAAGTAATATACAGTCTGGGGAAACTAATACAAACCACAATCAGAGTTTTATCCAGAGCAGGACTTGAACCCTGAATTAGATAAAAAAGAAAAACGCTTAACAAAACCAACCTGGAAGGTGCAAGAGAATCTTAATGCTG